TATTGTGACTGTTTCTCTCTGTCCAGAGGAGATTTGGTCACTAATGAATACATTTTGTCCTGTAAAGATGGTGACAATGCAAACGGAACATCGTCACCTAAGGAACTAATGACTTTTCCATTAAGACCAGAATCCAAATCATTTACACTTATAATAGCTACTGTAGTTCCAGGTCTGGAATCTTCTGGGATAGAGCTGGAAAATGAAGTAACTTCAATCTCAGGCGCATTGTCATTCACATCAACTATCTTAATATTTACACTCTTTTGTGTTGATAGAGGAGCAAGACCTTTATCTGAAGCTTGAATTTCAATTTCATATTTGTCCTTCTCCTCATAGTCTATCTGCCCTTTTACAGTTATTTCACCTGTCACAGGGTTTATGTCAAAAAGCTTCAATAACCTAGGATGAACAACACTGCTAAATGAGTAAACGATATCTCCGTTTTGACTGTCATCTAAATCCGTTGCATTCACTTGGACGACTACTGTACCTACAGGAGAATTTTCATTAAGCGTAACAGAATAAACATCTTGGGAGAAAACAGGTGCGTTATCATTAATGTCCAAAACATATATTAGAATTGTCATCTCTCCAGATTTAGCAGGTTTGCCCCCATCCAGGGCCGTCAGTGCTAATGAATGGGTTCCCGCTGCTTCCCTATCCAAAGATTTCTGCACAATTAATATTGGTATTTTCCCATCTTCTCCCTTATCCTTTACTTCTAACCGAAAGTGGTCGTTTGAGCTAAGTTTATACTGCTGAATGGTAAAAGGACCGCCGTCTGGATCTCGTGCGGGCTGTAACGGTATACGTACACCGGGTAACGCAGACTCTGAAATTTCCAGCCTTTTCTCTTCCTGTGGAAAACGAGGAGAGTGGTCATTTACATCCAACACCTCCACTGCAACGTAATGTATCTCCAGCGGGTTTTCTAGTACAGTTTTCAGATTTATTAAACACGAAGTGCTCTCCGCGCACACCTCTTCTCTGTCAATCTTCCGACTCACATACAGGATACCGTCATTTGGATTTACATGGAAAAGCGGATCTACATCACTATTAACAATCCGATACTTTCTCTCTTTTAATGTGCTTTTATCTATTCCCAGATCTTTTGCGATGTTTCCTACCACAGTCCCTTCGTTAACCTCCTCCGAGACAGAATATCGCATCTGCGCCGAAGCCACAGTGCACAAAAGCACAGCAGCCATGCAGCTAAGGAAAGATCCTCTCCCACTTCGCCTCTCGTGTCTTCTTTGTTCCATGGTTACACCCTAGATCACAAGTATGTCTTCAGATAATCGATTGCTGCAACATAACGACAAAATCCAAACGTTCCTTATATGAAAATACTCATCTTCTGTCTACAATGACGGACATAATGCCAAAGAAACACGGTAGTAAGCTCAACAACGGCCGCGAAAAAAGAAATGGAACCAAACAACCCTGGTGGGAAACTCGTGCAAGGCTTCCTGTTTGGATTACACTGACACCACGCGATCTGCGTTCTCACTGCAGGGAAAAATATTATAACAGATTTTTTCATGTTTGACAAAAAAGTGACACAAATCTCAAAAACATCAGAAGGGTCTGCATAACATTATACAAGAAACAGTTATTACACGACAAAATAAAGTGATATGAGTCAACACGCTGCGTTAACATCAGTAAGTATAAAAAATATTTCAGTTCAATAGAAACTCAATCAAGCGAGTCCAATAAAGAACTGCTAATGCTGTGCACAGTGCTGCCTGACACATGCTGAGGCTTTTGGATTACTCAGGCTCCTTATTTCATTTATGCCAGTGTTTTAAGCAAAAGAAGGTTGGGAATAGAAGAGAAGGAAACGGAAAAGAAGAGAAAACAGTGGAGATTGTGGAAAAAAATCCCACGTTCATCACTGTTCAAAGACAAATTGCAAAAGTTGTTTTTTGATTACTTTAAGAATAGTAAATATTCACGACCTTGTCGTCATAAATGGTTAGTTCGTTACGAAGCATGGCATTAATTTCATTTCAGACGCGCTACTAATAAAACAAATGTAAGGAAGGATTGAGACCAGGAAATGTGACGCAAATGTCTTACCTCCTCGGATGCTCTCCTCCTGTCGGGAAGCACAAGTGTATTTGCATGGCTGCCCGGAACTATAGTAGATCCTATACTCATTCTGGGTCCAAC